GGTAATTGCTTTGAGCGGGGAGACATCTGATCTCTCACAACTATCCCCTGCCTCTTGCCAAACAGAATAAATATCTGATCGTAAATGAAATACCTGTGTAGAGAGAGGGAGAGAACAACCTTCGGCGGGTGGGAGAGGAGGCGCTCGTATTGTGCAATAACACGGTTCGCTGTACGCTCACTGTCTTACCGAGCGGATGACACTGGTGCGATAAATAGGAACCTTTGTCGGGTGACACAGAGGACAATTATAACGCCTGATTACACTTACGGCCCATTTCCCGCACCGAGTATCATGTAACTTTGTTTCCCCGCATCCACCTTCCCCCGCACCGGGACCGGTGGCTCAGCCGGGCACAGCCCGCCCGGGTCCGCGGGACGGGTCCCCAGCCCCGGGGGTGGCCGGAGAACGCTCCGGGGAAGGGTTACCCCCGCAAGCTGCCCGGGAATGGGATCGGCAACTAACATCCCGCAGCCAAAAAGGCTTCAGAAACGGAATCTAAAAGACCCAAGAGGAGGATCTAGATGGAAGCGTCGGTGACCAGACCTGCGCCCTCGGAGCCTCTGGCGTTCAGCTCGTTTTAATTCCTTTCTAGCGTCTGCACAAAAATGCATCATATCCATTATTACACCCCTTTTTTCTTGGCTCCGGGACCCATCCGAAGCAAGGCGGTGAGACAAAAATCTCCCGACGTCTAACACATCAAAAACTACCTCGGCACACATCTCGTTTCGGGATAAAACCTGGACCTGATGCACGTTCTGCTTTCATTTCCCTGCCTTTCTTTCTACTCGAATCGGGAACTTTATTTTCCTTTCTTAAAGGACTTCCACGTGCCTCACCGTGACTCGTTAAAAAAATCCCCTCTCTTTAGAGAACAGCTTATTAACCAAATAGATAATTTATCGAGAAAAGGAGGGGGGAATGTTGGTGGGATTGTCCCTCCCCGAGGACAAACGTGCTCCTCACTACCCCCCGGGCAATCTGGAAAGGGTCATGGGCTGGTGCTTTGCGTGGTCTGGAGATAAAGAGCATCACTCGTGTAGTGATGCGAACGGGCTCCCTCCTCTTTCACAGCGATGGGGCATCGGAAGGGGGGGG